TACTATCAAGTCCAGACTTGATTGGTACTTGTAGTTGCTGAGGCCCTTAAGGGCATGTCGAGGAGGCGAAAGGAGTAGTTGGAGATTGTGGAGCTTGGCGTAATTCGAGCCAAGGTGGAGATTTGTGATGATGTGGCCCAAAGTTGGTGCTGGGTCGCGTTGCGACCCCTTTATAACCCGACGACTCGTTGGATGAGCTTTGTGTAGCCCCTAATTAGTACTCTCTTGTAGCCCGATATATAAGAGTGCTTAGGGTTTGGAGTGCGACACTGAGAGACATTGAAAATCGTACAGAAAGTGAGTGAGGGGCTGAAACTTGTAATATCCGATTTTACACAGAGTGAAGACTTTCGCCGGATCTCTACTGTGGGTATAGGCTTTGCCAAACCACGTATAAATCTCTATGTTCTTTGTGCGGTGTGTTTGTATTTCTGTCGTGTTTCGTGATTGTTGCTTGGGTTTGCTGCATTTGTCGTAACAAATTGAAACACCCGATTCTTCTCCACAACCCCTGCATATAAAATTGCATCATCTGGATCCTTCCAGGAGTGGAAGGAATCATAATATGGCATTTCCTCGCATATCGCACGAAGTTTAGCAATGTAACCTGAAACTGTCGAGTCACCTTGAGTAATCCTGGTTATATATGATATCTCGCCCCAACTGAATAATCCTTGCATTATTTTGCCTCTGAGAATAAGTGGGTTGTACTAAATCTCAAATCTGCTTAGCCATCTTCATAAACATATAGCCAACGGCTATGTTTGATTGCATTGAATTGACTAGCCAAGACATAACCATAGCGTTATTACAAACCACTGTGGATATGTCTTCTCTGACTGAGTTGGCTCGTTTTTTAGAACCACTAATATAACCAATCTTGCCTTTGCCACCAAAGAATATCTTGGCAGACTGTTCCCAAATCAAATAGTTGGAACCATCAAACTTCACTATGGTGATTTGAAGTCCTGGATTTTCTGATGAGTTGGTGGGAAAAATGGCACCACCACCCACATAACTTGAACCATGAGAATTAATTGTCGAGGACCCTGAATTTGTCATACCCACCTTCTAAGACAATTTCCAAAAAGTCCAAATACATACCTTTTTAAGGTGTACAACCCCTTACATATAGCCGGACAACCTCCTTTCTCAATATATGGAACCTCTGTAGACACACAAGATCTTACTGAAGCCCTTCTAGTGTTGGGAGACCAACTATAAGAACTTACCCAACCCTAGAAAAGTAAAAAGAAAAAAAAAAAAAAAAACTTGTAAAATTTAAAATACCTGCTTTCGATCACAAAATAACAAGGCATAGAAACATGTGCAGGCAATGTCACAGGGTGTCGCAAACAGCCTAAGGTGGTTGTTGCACTAGTCGCAAGGCTGCTGGAGGGTGTGGAAAGGTGTTGGCTCTGATACCAAGAAGAAATACAAGATAGAAGGAATAGAAGTGTAAAGGCTTGAATGAAATTAATTACTCATTCAAAACTCGAGCATTTCAATATAAAAGGACCACATGTTTATATTACAGGAAAGAATATAAAATAAAATCATTGCAGATTCTATGCCTAGACATATGCATAAATAAAGTCAAACTCCATGATTTAAGTTTATCATATTCAGCTAATATGTTAAGTCGCATCCCATGATTCGTGGCTATCATATCTCAGCTAATATGATAAGTCACATCCCATGATTCGTGGCTATCATATCTCGGTTAACAAATATTCTTCTTTGATACGGGCTCTTCTTTTTGCTGGCAACTCTTCATGTAGAAATTCCCATTTGGCTTTCTGAGTTCTCTTGATCTTGTTACTTTAAAAGAGGCTAAATTTCCAGTGAATGACAGTTTGACTGCTTGTCACGAGTGAATTTTTTATGGTGGTGTGAATGTTTCTTGCTCAGTGTCCTCAATTAGTTGTTGTTTTCAGAAACTTATTTCTCTTTTTTATAAAAAAAAAAAAAAAATAAATAAAAAAAAAAATAAAAATTCAAGAACCATAACCTCTCCTGCTATTCCACCTGGAGAGGGGTTGCACTTTCAAGTGTTTGACGTACAATCCTGAGATGTAACAAAAAACAGATAAAAAGGATGCTTAGGTGATGAAAGAAATGACAATAAATATTGCAGCCATCTTTAACGTTAAAGTACAAGCTTCTGCTTTATCTCTATTTTTACAACCTTGAGATATATCAAGATATATAAGAAAATGTTTATTACTAGTGACTAAAAGAAGATGCATTTACCATCACTCAGCATGTATTGCAATTTTTCTTTTTGTTAAATCACATTTTCTATTCGGGGTCCTTGAGCATAATTAATCAAATGAAAATACTTGAGGACAATCCTACAATCATTTGTCAGTTTCTCATAAGCATGAAACTGATAAAATGTTATGCTATCTAGTACTAGATCTTGCATGATTAGTTTCAATTGAAATAACGAGGATGATGCAACCCCTTACCTTATTTTTGCATATAACATCTGCTAATAGAAAGTAACTTCATATACTGAACACAAAAACTTGAAAGATTGAAGGATAGAACTATAGAAGATAAATCCCAAGTCTGATGTTGATCCAAAATGGAAGATCTAGATTATTAAGGAAGAAATTATGGCCTTTAGATCACAACTTATATTCACCACATGTGCTTGCTTGATAGGATTAGAACTTAAAGTTAGACAGATTTTGTAACAAAAGCCCAAGTCTGTATTTTTATTTTACCTTTTGATTAGGTGGTCAAAAGAAAGTTTGTGGGGGTACTTATGTCCGAGAGGGGAATCGGAAGTTCAAGGTACATCAAAGGAAAAAAAAGGTAAAATCACTTCTTAAATAACTAACTGACCAATTAGGAACTCATAATCATGCATTCTTATCATGATCCATTATAGGACAAAATGCATACATGTTTTGATTCATGAAAAAGATTTTTTAGATGCTTAAAAAATATTCTTTGGTGAAGATTTTTATGTTTCGGGAACTGACATAACTGACCTAAGTATCTTATGATATTCATCAGAAATAAAATACTTTGAATTTTTTTATGGGATTTTTGCACATTTAGAAACTAGACTTGATAAGCTTTCCAAAGATATACTATAAGCCTAATTTTGAGTCTGTTTGACCGGTCAACAAAGCATTCTAAGTCAAGCGATATGCAGTCAGATTGAAGTATCGATTGAAGTATTGATCGATTGATCAACTAGTAGGTATTGATCGAAGCAAGTCCATTGGGTTTCGATCCAAGCCTGGAACAATTCCCCGACGCTTAGATCATCGGACACCCAGAAACGTATGGGTCTAAGTTTTCTTGTGTGAAAAAGTTTCCTAAACATACCAAAAGACGTTAAAACCTTTCTTAATCAAATTCTAATGTTTCCTTCGGACTCTGACCCTAGAGAGAAACTATAAAAACACCCTAGGCTCTGATTAACACATACACTCATAGAAGAGAGAAAAAGAGACGCAATCATGAGATCTCTACACACATTATTGAGAGATTATTCGAGAGCTTATTTTTGTTTCATCATCTACATGTTGCATTAGATGGTGAGTTATCATTCTGAGTGTTAATTATCATCTTGGAGAGCTTAAACGTCATCAACGCCAAAGTGTTTCTACACAAACATACAATCTGGACAGACTAGTGGCTGAAGATTAATCCGTGAAGAGGCAGTGCTCGAGCGTACTAAATGCTGTAGACGGATCAGAAGGACGACCTAGAGATCTTTAAAGGACTGAAGGTTTGGTATCTTATCTTGCTGTGTCTGGAGATCAACTAAAGGTTTGAGGATACTGATGTATGACTTAGGCTGTACATCTCTTTCTTCATAGTGGATTGATTTGTCGGACTAGGTCCCATGGCTTTTTAACTCCTCGAAAGGGGTTTTTCCACACAAAATCTTTTGTTCTTGTGTGGTTGCATGCTTTATTTATTTTTGCTCTCTATATTTAACTGATTCATATAATTGCTTCAAACTATAATTAACACAAGTTAGAAATCAGTTATTGTTTGTTAAAATTTGAAAAGATATATATTCACTCCCCCTCTAGATCTATTTTGGGCATACATCGCCTGTGCTAACTAGATCCATCTGGGCCTAACATAACCGGTCTATTATTCAACAAGAATATGCAAAACCATGAACCACTAAACAATTAGAGGTCTAGATAAGCAATCAAGAAGCATGTGCAATTTCAAATTCATGAGATTCAAAGATGCTGTCCTCCACCCGTTACACTAATGCAATGGAGCTGTAATATTCATAAAACGTGATTCTACAATTCCTTTGGTATGATGTTTAGTTGCATTAATCTCATGAACTTTTGTTCAGTAATACATTTTTTTGTTCATTTGAGTTACTATTTATATTATATCTTGAAATCTGAAGAGTCATCCTGATAGCATGATCAGCCCAACCCAAACTTATCGCTACTATGATCCAGTCTGGTTAGCTATTTGGGTGGCTTGGAATTAGGTATGAAGCTCAGCCGGGTCTGAAAGCTTGGCCTGCATGGATCCGTCAACGGCTTAGAGAACAGTCCAATTATAATATGCTTATTTGTTGTGCATTTATTTTGATTTTTGTTGATTTATGTTAACAATGTTGCAGTTAAGCACTGGACTCCTCCCTTAAGAAGTCAGTGGGGACCACTGACTTCATTCTGTAACTCATTTGAATTCTTTTCTTTCTTATTTATTTAATTATTTATTGAATTATATATATTTTTAAACGTGTCTTGCCCAGGCTGGTGCGAGGGGCAACCTGATAACCAGAAGCCCATCCAGGCCATGCATATGGGTTTGAGTTTCCGGTTGGCCCATCCTGGTTCATTAACCGGCGGGATTGGTCCCGGGTCAACCCGCTTGATGATACCTAATTATACCTATTTGTTCAATGAAAACAAGCAATACAAATATCCTACCTTTGTTTTTAACGATGCTTGAACTTTTAATGCAGTTTTTAACGGATGCTTGAACTTTTAATGCAGTTGGAGCTGATCCGCTTTGTTGCTTCTGCCAAGCCTCTAATAGCTGCTGCTAAAGTTTCTGAGAGAATTATTACTGTCATAAAGAGCCTCTTGCTTGCGTCAATGCCTGCTCAGGTCTGGGTTATGTATACTTTTTCTTGGATCTGATCATCGATGCTTTAGGACTTATCAGAAATCCAGATTTGCTTGTGGTTGTCTTGTAGCTAATTCTCTTTTATTATCCACTCTTTATCATTCTCGAATATTCAGGAATTGGCTATAATGGAAAGCATGCAGTTGCCTCTAGAGAATGTTCTAAATGCAGTTTTTGAAGGATCCAATGAATGTGGCGGGAATAGTTCTGAAGTTCAACTGACATTGTGCACAATATTTGAAGGTTTTCCAGTGACCTCTTCATACATTATTACAGCCTTTGAAAGTTTTCATTTTAAGACCTGCTGAAAACTCTGATTATATTGAATTGAAGGTTTACTTCAGCAACTTCTTTCTTTGAAATGGACTGAACCAGAACTTGTGGAAGTACTTGGACACTTTTTAGAGGCTTTAGGTCCATTTTTGAAGTATTTCCCAGATGCAGTTGGCAGTGTCATTAATAAACTATTCGAGCTTCTAACATCTCTTCCGTTTCTTGTTAAGGTTGTATTCAATATATATCACTTCTAGAATTTTCATTACGTATAAGGAAAAGACATGCAAATTTCAACCATCGAATTATTTGGCAGGATCCTTCAACAAGTACTGCCCGGCATGCTAGATTGCAGATTTGTACATCATTTATTCGAATAGCCAAAGCTGCTGACAAAAGTCTTCTGCCTCACATGAAGGTGATTGTTTTTTCCTCTACTAATTGGATGGCAAAGTAATAATATATTCATATGAAAGTCGAATGTTTTATTGAATTCTGCTGTTAGAAAAAAAAAAGTTAGTTTTCTTTTGCCTCTGTGTTGAAGAGTTGTTAATAACTGTCCTAGCTCCGGTTGATCAAGTGAATGTAAAACATGATGGCCTCTTGAGTCTTCCTTTTGCCTATCAAGTTTGTATTCTAATCTTCTTACCTATCAAGCTTCAAGGATTGTCATCCTACTAGCTTTTGAATCATTTTTTTCTCAATATAATAATAACTGTCCTAGCTCCTGGTGATCAAGTGAATGTAAAGCATGATGGCCTTTTGAGTCTTCTTTTTGCCTATCAAGTTTGTATTCTAATCTTCTTACCTATCAAGCTTCAAGGATTGTCATCCTACTAGCTTCTGAATCATTTTTTCTCAATATAATTCATCCTTTCTTATTTTATTTTTTTTGATAAGTAAATATTGTATAAAGAAGCGTTCAAAAGGGCAACGCATCTCTCAGAAAATACACAAGCCCTAATAAGGCCTCTAAACTCTCAAAGAGTCCAAAAAATCAACTATCACCTCCATGGATTTACAATATCTCCTTATAACCCAACAAAAAAGAGCCCAGCAATCCTGAGCCACGGGGCAATGCAGAAGAAGGTGATCAACCGTTTCCCCATCTCTCTTACACATGTAACACCAATTGACCACTACCTGTCTTCTCCTTCTTAAGTTGTCCTGGGTCAAGATCTTCCCTAACACCGAAGTCCACGCAAAAAAAGCCACTTTGGGAGGGGCCTTGGATCTCCAAATAGCCTTCCATGGGAAAGACTCCCCATGGGCTTGCGTATTGCACCTGTAGAAAGACCGAACACCAAAACAACCCTGGGAAGAAGGAACCCACACCTTTGAGTTAGAAACATCGCCCGTAAACTATTGTCTGTACACCATTTCCAAAAGACCAACGGCATCCTTGATCTCCCAATCTTGCAAGTGTCTCAAGAAACGAATGTCCCAAACATTTCTCCCACTATCAAGACAATAGCTGTCAGTCACAAAAGCATATCAGTCAACAGCAATCCTAAAAAGCTTGGGAAAAGTGATGGCCAGAGAATGATCACCACACCAAATATCCTCCCAAAAGCGGATCCTCCTCCCATCCCCCACCTGAAATCTAATGTGTTTTGAGAATTCATCCCACCTTTCCGGATGGACTTCTAAACGCCAACACCGTAAGGGATACTCACCTCCTTAGAACACCAACCACCTCCCTCCTGCCTAAATCTGCTCGCAACCACCCTTCTCCAAAGTCTATGCCTCTCCACCCCAAATCTCCACAGCCACTTGCCCAAAAGGGACTTATTAAAAGGTACTTTTCTTCTAATGCCCAGACCACCAAAAGGGCCTTTGTAGCTGATTGTTATCGTCTTGATAGCACTGGGATTACGTGGGATGTGCACTTTCGGCGCTCTTTTCAGGATTAGGAGATAGATGAAGTATGTGTTTTTTTGGATCTTCTGTATTAGCAGGAGGGTGTTGGTAGAGGAAATGATGATTTGATTTGGGTTCCTTCTTCCCACGGTCGTTTCGAAGTAAGATCCCTGTTCTTATGTCTGTCTCATTTTGTTAACTATGTTTTCCCGGGGAAAACTATTTGGCGATCTATGGCTCTAACTAGGGTGGCTTTCTTTGTTTGGACCGCTGTTTGGGGAAAGATTTTGACAATTGATAATTTAAGGAAAAGGGGCAATTGTATTGTTAATTAGTGTTGTCTATGCAAGAAAGATGGGGAGTCTGTTGACCACCTCCTTATGCATTGCCCTGTGGGGAATGACTATTGGAATCTTATTTTTGGGTTGTTTGGCATGTGTTGGGTAATGCCACGATCTACTAAGGAATTAATTCATGTATGGAGAGGTTGTCGCATGAGAAGGGATGTACGCGATTTCTGGAGAGTTATCCCACATTGTGTCTGGTGGTATATTTGGAAGGAGAGAAATAGTAGAATGATTGAAGATAAAGAGTCGTCTATGGCAATGGTGAAACATCGCATTCTTTGTTCTCTATTCAATTATGTGAAGAGGAGTTCTTGCTCTTCTTCTGATGATTTAATTCTTTTTTTGGATTCTTTGGGGCCTTAGTCCCGGTTCCATTTTTGTAAAAGGGACGCGTTCCCCTTTTGAACGCCTTTTTATGTTATTATTACTTATCAAAAAAAAAAAAAAAAAATGCCCAGACCACCAAAACGAATTGGACTGCAAACCTGATCCTACGAACCAAATGAAACTTGTACTCATCCTCCATCCCACCCCAAAGGAAATGACGTTGCAACCTTTCAATCCTCTCAGCCACATAACAAGGAATCTGAAAAAGAGAGAAAAAATAGGTTGGAAGACTCGACAAAGTACTTTTCATCAAAGTGACTCTCCCACCTTTTGAGAGATACTGCATTTTCCACCCAGCCAATCTCCTCTCAAACCTTTCCATAACAGGGTCCCAACATCCCACTCGTCTCGATGGTGCCCCAAGCGGAAACCCCAGATTAGAAATAGAAAAAGAGCCATGTTGCAACCCAGAATGTCAGCAAGAGTGGAGATATCCAGAACCTCCCCAACGGGAACCAAGACACTTTTACCCACGTTCACCTTTAAGCCGGAAACGACTTGAAACCATGTCAAAAGACAACTCAAGTACCTCATCCGAGACTCATCCGCATCACAAAAAACCCTAGTGTCATCTGCAAACATCAAATGGGATATCTCCAACTGACTAGAAACATCTCTGCCCGTCCAAAAACCTCGCAAGAAGCCCAAGTCCACAACCCTCCTCATCAATTTGCTGAGGGCCTCCATCACAACAAGGAAAAAAAAAGGGAGAGTCGATCCCCCTGTCTCAAGCCCCTCGAACTATTAAAGAATCTCGTCGGAGAGCCATTCACAAGGACTGAGAAACGAACACTAGAGATACAAAACTCGATCCATCTCCTCCATCTCTCACCAAATCCCATCCCCTCCAATAAATAGAGAAGGAAGCTCCAACTAACATGATCGTAAGCCTTCTCAATGTCCAGTTTTCATAAAACGCCTGGGATCCCACTGCACAGTCTAGAATCCACACACTCGCCAGCAATAAGAACATAATCTAAAATTTGACGGCCTCTAACAAAAGCGTTTTGAGAATCCGAAATGACCCCATCCAAGACATCCTTGATGCGACGCTAGGCGTGCTCAATAATAAAATCACACTAGCTATAACACAAGTTCATAAGAAAGTGGTTAAGTAGGGGGTATCGATCCACGAAGATTGCGAAACTTATGGCAATCAAGTTTCAAAGATTAATTTCCCTTGTAAATGTCACAAAAGATGGTTGATTTGTTTGTTTGTCATTTGCATAAGATTAAAATAAACTATATTGAATTTAAAGAATAATAAAAGGGAGGCTAGGGAATTGAGTTCACCACGACTTCGCAATCATGTATACTTGTAAGTAACTTGGGGATATAATTACGTGTGATATGAAAAGTGTAGAAATATAAAATAACTACAACAATTGTCAAGAAAATCATGTAATTTAAGACTAAGCATAACCCATTTGCGGTTGGCATGGCTCATCCACCTAAACTAGGGTATGGTATGAGCCATCTTCCCTAGGCATGGCCTATCAAAATCTTAACATTACAAGTTTAGCACATGAAATCAGTCCTCTGGCATAGACTATTTTTGGTTGGCACGGACCGTCTACCTAACTACATTAATCTAAGGTTGTAGTACGGTCCGTCTTCCCTTGGCATAATCTATCTAAATTCATGTATAACATGCCAATAATCCCATTTCATGAATATAAATTCTCATTGTCACATATGAAAATATTAAGTGTATAAATATATAATCATGCTTTTTAAGACAAGAATCACATGGTGTATATACCTATATATATATATATATATATATATATATATATATATTCTCCCCAAATTGTATTTGAATTGAAATGCAAAACAGAAATTGAATTATACATCACATCTTTATTCATAAAACTTCATCACATCCAAGAGTTTTCCCCAAATTACATTACAAAAGACTACATAATTACTTAATCGAGGCTACCTCAATCCCTTAGAAGGGGATTTAGCTCATCCTGGTGGTGGGAACTCCGATGGTTGAAGGGGAAGACTCCACCTTTGACTCCATTGCAGCCCAATACCAAGAACACTCAAGAATCCTAGCTATTTTTCACTCTCTCGCTAGAACCTCCAATTCTCTCTTTAGAAATGATATATGATATTGGATATGTATTAGAGATCCCTATACAAGTGTATATAACCTCTTTATGGCAGAATCAGTTCAAAAACCCATTAAACTTGTGCATTTAAGTGAGGAGGAGAGAGATAAGTAACTGAAATTTCATTTGAATTTCAAATCTGGGGAATTGCATCCGGATGCTAGGAAGTGCGTCCGGACGCGAGGTGTCCAGGCTTCCTTTGGCGCGTGCGCAAGGCGTCGGCTTTGCAGGGCTGTGGCATCGGGCGTCCGGATGCATGGTTGTGTGTTCGGACGCAATTTCGCAAGGCTACTGGAATTTTAATTTCTTCAATCCTTAATTTGATGAACACGGTTGTGAGGGGCGTCCGGACGCAGGATTTCCACTAGGAGTGTGCGTCCGGACGCAAGGTTGAATCCTTCAAATCTTTGACTTCTTTTTCTTGCTCACTTTCTCGGGCCTGACTTCATTCTCAGGTTGAGTACAATCTTTAGGCTCTAAGTCTATTTTTCCGGGTTCCGTAGCTCGCCAATTCCCTTGTCCATAAAAAGCCATTAATATCCCCTTTTTACACCATTTTTGCGATAAGCCCTGAAAATGATGATTAAACTAAAAACTATATAAAACATACTTTATTAGCATGCTAAATAGACTAAATAATGCAATTAAGGGCACTTAATTATGAAATATTTGGCACTTATCAATCCTTCCCGGAGGAATGAGCACAA